TTGGTCCGCTCGTCTGTGAATGTAGCTTAACGACCGGTGGTAGGAAGGGAGTTTGGCGTGGCAGGACGGCGCGACACGGCCAGGGTATACAGAGAAAACAGTACGGTGCAAAGCAAACGCGCGACTACTAACGCTAATCTCAAAAATGATAACGCGGAGATAACGTCGGCCCAGATGTCAGACGTTGCTTGCCACAAGAAACGCGTTGTTACCTCGCGGTGCCGGCGTTATCCATTTCACGTTCCTCACCGTGAGGAATTCCAACGTCTGTGGCAACTTGCGGTGACGCTGTCCCCGTTCCGGTACCTGTTCCCCGTGAAACAACATCGTTTTCTCGTTGGTGACCTCGTTTTCTCGTTCGGAATCTCTTCGTCGAATTTACTGTTCTCATGGTTTCTGAATCGCCGACTGTTTTACGAGATTTCGAAGATAGCTCGATAGATTTATATTGTTAGAAGATATTTCATAGATACAGTCGTACAAATTTAATCGTCTGGAAATATTAAAAATTAAAGATAATCTCACTGCTACTGAAAATAAATACTTCAAACTTCCCTAAACGACGTAAAAATTCTCTTTGCATATCTTATCAAATCCTCAGTCCGTACTAGATAGTATTGTACAAATAATCGAGAGTGCTTAAAATAATTAATTTGCTTATTGAAAAGAGGATACATGTCTAAAGACGAGTGCATTTTTTATTAGTTCTACAGTCAATCAGTATTAATTCTAATGTGTGAACTTTATTCTCAGTAGCTCCAGCGTCCAGTCTGCTTCGACAATGATTTCACGCTAGTCCATTGCGAAAGTAAATACGAAAAATAAACTGATCCATTTCGACAAAAAAAATAATAACGAAAATAAATAAACAAGTACCAAAGAGCATAATTGAAAATAAGTACGGATCGCAAAGGGTCGAACTTTTAAAATTTTAGCAATTTCAAACACCTCATCCAAAGAGAGCTCAGAGAAAATCGTTCAAATAATCCCCAACGTGTCCAAATTTACAAAATCTGTCCACGAATCGTGGATCAGTCTCTCGTCCTCATTTTCGAGTCACATCAAACGTTTGCCACAGCTATTGCGCGTTTACGTTCTACTAACAAGGCACGATTAAAACTGGAAACGGAATGGAGAAGAGGCAAGGAGACGGCAATATATCACGCTTGACGCCAATAGAACGGCCCTACTTTCGTAACAATAAACCTCCTAATTAGCTCGACACGAGACGACGCGAGGCCAGTCTTTGTGTTGGCCAACCCCCGAAGCACACTTAGCCTCGCACGAGCCCCAACGACACGTATGGAATCGTTCTGTATCGAGCCGATTATCGACGTTCACGATCGACCACCTCTTTGTACCACCGACTCTCCCCCTTTTGTTTTCGCGACAAACCGTTTTGCTCGGCAGGGTCAGGGGTGAGATTCTTCTGCTATCATCGAAATCGAGTGGTATCGTGTGAGCAAGTAGACTGTGAGTTTTAGATGTAGGCTGTGATCAGATGTACGCTCAGATTTCTTAATTTACTAGAGTATAGCTGTCGTGAATTTAGTTACAAATATGTTGGAGTAATTATACTTCAACCTAAAAAAATTTTGAGACAATTTATTTTCTATTTCAGTGTCTGTTATAGAGAATAACACTTTTAATACGTGCAATATTCAAAATCTCTAAATTTCGTGAAATTATAAAATCTAGGTGAAAGTATCTGAAAGTATCTGAAGATTCTTGGAATTTTCTTTCGTGGCCGCAATATTAAAAAATGAAATTCGATAACATAAACTGAAAAGATTTGTCTGGATCATATCGGTTCTTAATGGGTTGATTTACCCGTGAATGAAACCTAAGATCATAATTTCAAATACAATCCAATTTAACTCCTTGCGCTGGCAACTATGGTTCGCGGACCATAACGAGTGACCGAACCGTATACAATAATTTATCGCTTTCTGTTTCTTTTGAACTCGTCGGTATGATATCACTGGATAGGAATTATTAAGGAGTAATAAACTCATCATCTGTTTTGCCTGGGTTACATTTAAACATACTTAAAACTATGATATACTTACAATTTGGGACAAAAAATTCTCAATGTGCCTCCAATTTCGTGCTTCGATCGACATTAAATATTAATAATGCAACTCGAAACCTGAGAACACAGTTTCTTCAAGTTCATTCTAATCGTTGCTTAGTCGATAACAGGTGCTTCCAACCTGGAAGATCTGTTTCAAACGATTCGTTCGGCCGATTTCACGCGCTTTTCACGGTATATCCGGCTCGAATTTTGCGCAATAATTTTACCAGGCGATCCTTCTGGTGGAAAACTCGCTCGAAAATGTTCGGTCAGTCTTCGAGGCCGAGCCTTTGAAGGATCGACGAAACGTAGTGGCCGTGTCCAATCGACGAACGGTCAGTGGAAGCCTGAAACGTTCGGGATTCTATCTATCTTCGATGATTTTAGTGGAAAGATTACTGGTTCACGAATCAGTCGCTGCGTTTGAACCAGTTTCGCCTAACAGGATCTGGATTCTGGCGACGGATGGTGAATTTCATGGGAACGGATTTTGATCGACCTTAGATCTTGCGTTCAATTTCCGGACCGTTTCTTTCGGTCCTTTTTTTGTTGGAAACTTTGGTATCGAGAAAAATATGTGAGATTTTCCTCCGACAAAAATTTGTAGCACTAAGATCGCTATGTATTTTTTGAACGAAAGTCTTAAAATATTAAGAAAGAGAATAAATATCAAGCTCTATAGAATTTTTAGTAGAATTTACTTTCTTTAGATTGTTACCATCCAAATACACATTTAGATTTTTTTTTTTAGTTCTCTCTAGAATGCTTCTCAGAGTTTTCTTCTTTCATTTTTATGAGAATTTTTACGAATAGGCGTTTGTTTGCTTTTCCACAAATAATAAATAACACTTTCTATTTTCTTTTTATTTATAAACTTAATTAATCCACGTTCACGTCAGTTAATCCTTGGATTAGTATTCCAGGATTGATTTGTAGAATTTATTATAGAAGTGGAGATTGTTAGAGCACAATAATAAGTGGAGTACAATAATAGTCGACTAGCTGGTCTTTTGTCCGAAGATTGCGTACGAACTAATAGATCGATTTCTGTCGGGGGTCAATACCCATAGGGCGACGAGGTGTGCCTGTAAAACTGCCGATGACCACCATATGTTCGATTAGGAACAATCTGTTCAACCATTCATAATTTAACTGCACTGCAATCGCAGGTTTTGCAGTTAATCAGGGATGTCGGCGTGAAAAAAAAAGGAACGAATTCTTGAGGGAAACGTACAAGTAGTTCCATTGCAGTTTTTCAAAGTGTGTTTTATCGACCAGTTCATTGGAAGAACAAGTATAGATGGATTTGTGTGTTAATTTTTGAAAGTTTAACGCAATTTTTAAGATTAAATACACGAGTGCAAATATTAATTTCATCTTGCAATTTGCAATTTAATGTACCATTACTGTTTGAATAATTTAAATGAGAGTGTGTTTTAATAAATTTCTCGGATTGAGCGGATCAGTTTGATAAAAATGTTAAATCTCATAATAAATGAAGAAATAGCATTCATATTTCAACATCTAGATTCCTAACAGAAAAGTTATGAAAATAATTACTATGTGTCGATCTTAGGATTTAATGAAAATATTTTACGCTGTAAAAAATATAATAGAAGGAGCATCGAAAATATTCGTAGTTATACAATGATACAAGTATAATCTAGTTTTTAAAAATCCAGCAAAAAGTTATCCTATTTTTCTAATAACTAAGTAAAAAAGGTATCCTATTTTTCTATTTAATTAAATAAAATAAAATTCTAAGCTCGAAAATTCTAGAAATACATTTGAATAACGTCTGGCTTATTGTCTACGAAGAATTCAGAGAGAGACATACCAAATGTAGCAGAGAAAGAATCATCTCTCTTATTCGAACTGTTTCGAAATTTTATTGTTCGACAATCAGGCATCATTTGGAAGACTTTTGCCCATTCTTTAGGGAGAGACACCTCTCGTCTAGGAATCTTTGTTCCTTCATTTTCGACACACCTCGCGACAACGAGGCCCTTTTAATATGCGCCCCGGCCAGAAAGAAACGCGTGCCGCAGGTGTTTCACGTTTCGTTTCGATTTTTCAATGGAACAGACGCTCGCTGTGTCTCTCGACACGTGTCACCGCGCGAAACGCGGAGCATCCACTTCCGGTTCTCACGGAAGAACCCTTTACACGATCGACCACTTTCTGTCACACGTTTTTCTCTTTTTTTCTGTTTTTATGTGCTTTTAATGACTCTAATTGGGGAACATAAATAATCGTGATGTGTAACTAAAAGTACAGCAGTTTGGAAGATTTAGGGATTTAATAAGGTTACGTGAATATTGCTTTCGAAATAAAAATTCGCAGGAATTAGAGTTCGGATTAATGAATGATACTTTGTGAGAATTATTTTTCGAAACGATTACTGTTCAGACAAGAAATTAAATTTGTTACAATTATAATTCTATGTTATAGTCATTGTAGAGTAATACAATTGTTTTAATTAATTGTCCAGAGAAATTTTATGGCACTTTAAAAGCACAATGTTTAATTATAAAATAGTATCGAACAAAATTAAACTGAAAAGTCGGCAAGTGACTAAATGAAAGATCAAATAATAATAGAATATATTTAGAAAATATTTTTATAAGATAAAACTGTAAGAAAAGTATCAAGTTCAACTAAATTCTTTTCACTTTCGACAAAAAACAATAATAAATCGTAGCAATTTCATTTAGAACAATTACAGTAATTTTATTACAATTCAGAAACATAATTTCCAATTATAAAGTAATATTAAATACAATCATATTCGAAACACTTCAATCACAAATTACGATCTCTAAAGTGGAGAATTATAGAAAAAAATCAAAGTACAAATTTGCTAAAAAATGTACATAGGAAATATTTCTGTAAAGCACACACACACACACTCACTCACTCACTCACACACACACACACCTAGAAAAATGTGTATATAAAAATCAAATTTTCTTCACTTTCGACAGTGGTTCGTCAGCCAAGTTTCTCTTGCTCGGTGTCCACGATTTTGGTAGATTAGGCTGCGGCACCGGTCGCTTCTGGTTACGATTTTTGTTCTTCGTGCTCGATCGTTGCTGCGTTTTCGTTGTTCTTTTAACGGTTCTACTTTTACTTTTTCCTCGAGCTTTCTTCCGCGATGAGGTTTGACGTCTAGTGGTACTAACCTTTGCACTGTCCGGATCGAATCTGTGCTCATTAAAAAAAAAAAAAAAAAAAAAAAGTGATTGCGTTTAATCGTGAAAATTTCTACATTTAAGAAATAACGTTTCAACAAGGATGAATCTCTTAGACAATAACGTATGAAAGTTCTTTGCAACAGTTATTCAAAACGAAGGTTCTACGCGGAATGACTTAACCTTCTATTTGTAATTGTCATAATTCCAATCCCTGCATCTGATATTAATTAAATAATATTATTAATATAATATTGATTAAATAAATATTGTAATGTAACATTAATCAAATAACAAATCGTAAATATCAGAGCTACAATGACTGATACATCCTTGTTAGATTCGAATGAAGTTGTTCGTACAAAAGACGTGTTAATGTCTTCGATGAGATGGAAAAACGTTCAACGAAAAGTCAGAATATGAAAAATATGTCGAAATTTATCTTACATATTCTACGGGACTATTTATCGACTTTTTTTGATTTTTTTTTTTTTCGCGTTACATCGTTCGAGTTCGTTGTACTTTTATTGCCGCAATTAAAGAAACGTAGCAGTTACCTAAATTTGTTGTTTTTCTTGGCGATGATGCCAAAATCGACGCCACGACGAAGCGCCACGGACACCTGCTTCCGAAGAGTCTTGCCAGCCATGATGTCGTGCTTGGTACTGATCTGTTCTACGATCTCCCTCTCGGTGAAACCTTCTGGCGGTTGCTCGGTTTTCAACAGATCGTACACGAGGATCGACTTCCTCGCCATCTCGGTCTTCTCGTTCTTGCTTTCGTCAGTGGGTCGATCGGCCGTAGAATTCGCCGTGGAAAGAAACGTGTGAAAAGAATCGCGCGAGAGCAAGACAAGCTGACATCGTTCACCGGAAGTTGGTCCCGTGTCAAACGATTACTCGAGTAGCCCCTTCTACGTTCATTTGGTCGAGATGAATTCGCGAATTTTTGAAAAATGACGCGGAGCTTACGCGAGGAAATTACGAGGCAAAAATAATTGTGTTATTCGTAATTGTTGTAAACAATAATCTTCCTGTCTTTTATTTAACATTGTATAATAATGAATTGAGAAATTAGGGTGAAATTTCACTTGTGACAGTATAGATTTGATTCTTTCGAAAAGAAACTTTGATTTTTAAAATGATCGTGAGATAATTTTCAGGTAATTTGGAAATGATCTTTGAAATGATCTGAAAAATGACATCTAGGTAATTTTAAACGTTCTTAAAATTATCCAGTTAGATACAATTCTTTTGCGATATAATGAAATATAATATACGACAAAAATGTACAATATGATGAATAAACAGGGATTGGGACATGCTAAAATATTCTCCTTTCCTGGAAAAAGGCAAACATTGACAAGAGCCATTTAGTCTGTCCATTTCATACTAGTTTAATTTCAGTGAAGTTCATATCACGAGTTTAAAATATTCTTAGATTTTTAATTACGGGAGAAATCGAGGACGAGTAAAATCGTAACGTAATATAATTTCTGATGAAAAATAGGATAACACGCGAGTCACATAATTTTGTAAATTAAGCTCTGTATAATATTTACAAAAATTCTGCTCCTCGCAATTAAACTGTGTTTGTATATACCTATATTTTTCGAGGTTCAATTTCGATCTTACGGTCCGACAAAGAGGAAACTAATAAAACGTTGTGTTTCATCGAATCTGCCAGAAATTGCATTTTGAAATCACGTTTACTTTTTACAAGCCCTGGCTCGGTGTGTGTTTGCTTGCTCCAGTATTTGCGCTTGCCGCATTTATTGCATCCCCGACGCGTGGAACTAGCTAAACGACGTGTTCAAAACGTGTAAATTAAACTCACTCTGCACTTCACACACAGAAAGGAGTCATTTACGCGCAGTCCTACTTCCAACTCGCCTCGAAAGATTTTGGCTTAATTTTTCAACATCGATTTTGAAATTTCACTTAAACGATTGTCGTGTTTCAGGTGATTTTTATAAACGATACTGTTTAAAAGATTCCGAAACGGAGTAACTATAAATTGTTACATTTAAGTCAGATTTAATATTAGTGATTATTGATAAATAGAGATTAATTGATGAGATTAGAGAATGTAAAAGAAAATTCAGTCAAATTAAAAATTTTAAACCGACGAATTATTCTATACGGTTAATGGTCGCTCGTTATGGTCCGCAATCAGTTGCCAGCGCCGCAAGTGGTTTAATCTTCGAAAAAACTCCTCGAGAAACTATAGAGGAAAAAATCACCTATAGTAGTGGTTTTCTTAAAAAAAAAAAAAAAAAACTTCTCCGAACGTCGACGAACTCCGATCGGTACGAGCCGTACCGAAGCGCGATCGTTCGTCCCTGAACGAAACTCGGTTACACCTGAGTTGAGTCGTCGTATCCGCGACTTCGGCGTATCCGCAGGATTCCGTGGCTGTGCACGATGTTTGCCAAGAGGGACGCGGATGCTGGAGGGTTTAGAAGGAGCGGCTGGCTTTGAGGATAGCTCCCCGAAGGAGGACAAGACGGGATCTGAGTGTGTGTGTGCGCGTGTGGGTGGTTGGTGGGTTGGCAACGTCGGTGCTTAGAAAGAGGGAACACGGCTGGATGGCCAGCGACTCTGATTTCCGTCGGGAATTTCGCCCTATCCGGCGCAACCAGGCGAAGCCGCCTTTAATCATTCGATTGCCGCTGCTTAGAGTCCTTCCTCGGCCGGGACCGATATCTAACCGCCGCCCGCCATATTTACCCAACAGCATCCGCTGGACCAGACGGTTCTCTCCGCTGGCGCACGGTTAATTAATTCTCCGTTTTTCTTACCATTTCGTCCTGGTTAATCTTAACGTCAGATAGAAACTTCGTTTTGTACGAAGGATCGTTGTTTCGTTGGTTATTTGATTATTAATTAAATAATTGGAGTAGTTGAATCTTCATAGGGAACAAGCTCGTAAGTATTATAAAATTTGTTTGTTTAGTACGAAATACGCAGGTATTTCTTCTGCTCGTAGTTGTTCAATTGTCAATTAGACAGACGAGATAGTCGAGATACATTTTCTTATAAACAGTGTCAACAATCGTAGGTTGGTTAAGTGAGTCCTTAATCTTGAACTAAATTTGAAATTAGAATTGAAATATAGTTTACGAAAGTTTGTATCAAGTGTGATTGACACCTAAAGGACAATTATTCTCTAATGTCCAAATAAAATGAAAAATATAAAGTATAAATAATAATAATTAAAGTTTTATGATGAAACCAAATCTAGGTACACTCGTTTCTCAAATAAAAATTGACATTATTAATTTTAGAAACCTCTCTCATAATTAAATTAAAACTCGTCATTTTAAAAATTCCAGTGTTAAAATATTTTTATCACTTGCAACGATAAATATTTATTCGAAGCATGTTAGTTCACGCTGGAACCTATTTTATTTCTAGATTTTAGTATTCTCCCGTTGAGTCACGGTAAATTTTTGCCAAGAAAGGATGAAACTGTAAGAATCCATTCCTTTTTCGAAAGGAGAATGTCCTCGTGCTTGGAATTTTTAATCGAGATCAAAGTAAAATTCTAGTGCCGACTCTTACTTCGTCCTATAGCGTAAAACAGAAATTGGTTTTTATTGTGTTCTTCATTAGGTCAATTCAAACTGTCTTGAAATCATGAAGTGCGCTTCGTGCTCTACATTCTGAAATCAACGTAGCCCAAAATTCAATTACAGTGCCTCCCTTTAGCTATTCTGCTAAACAGATCTCCTCGGTTTTCTTCCTTTTTACCAGAATTTTTCGGAAGCTTCAATAATCTTCTTTGGATCAAGAGACCAAAAATAAAAAGTGTTGATAAAGTAATAATTTATCTTTCTTACAAACTTCCACGAAGCATTGTTTCGTTTCAATTCTATTAATTAATTAAACGTCGTGAGATTGTTTAACGTTTTCGATTGTTTTCTCGTTCTTTTGAAATTCTTCAAATCCAAGCATTCTCATACTGTGTAATAATTTATCTTTCTTATGAAACTTTACGACACAATGTCCCAAAATCTTTCATGGTATAACTTGGCTATTCAAACTCCTTCAAAAGGCTTCAAGCTTTTATTTGAAGAAGCAGACTAATTGTTCATTTTTCTTAGAAATTTTCACGAGATAATAAGCCAAAAATCTCTCACTTTAATCTTCTTAAGCAAACGTTGTCTTCTTCAACGTCCTTCTTGTCCCTAAAATGTCAAATATTCTGAATATTCAATGATTAACTAAGAAAAGATTTTTTTCGTATCTTCAAATATTTGTTTAAATAATAGAAATTAAATTTCTTTCTTAATAAATTCTAAATATTCCAAATGTCCTGTCATTTAAATCGAAAACAATCTCCTTCCCTTCCGTAACAAAATATTACATTTCTTTTTAATTATATAAAACTTTTAAATATTCCACAATCAAAAATTGCATATATTTCTCTCATTCGATTTTTCTCTCGAAGAGTAAAAGACAGAATCTCGAGTAAAAGAAAATGCAGTTGCAGCAGCAGTATCAAAAATTCTATCAGATCGACCGACAAGAGGCGAGCCTCATAAATCTCGGCTCCGTGATCATGGACGAGAAGGAGTGAAAAAAGGAAGGAGAATCCGTTCGATCTGGACGGAACGAGGTGGTTGGTTCGTGCTCGGCATCGTCGAGGACTACAAGAACCGAAGGTTTCGATCGTCTTCCCTTTCCTTGCGCGTAGAACGGACCCCGTGGGGCATCGGTTTCCCGGTTTCCGCGGCGCTTTTTCCAATTGTGCCGACCCCCAGCTCGCCCCCAACTCGGCCGGTCCTCCAAGTCACTGCAAGTGGATTATTGACGGCACGAAACAATGGCGTAGCTTTGTTCCGCCAGCCACGAGCGTAATATGCTCGATGCAGCAAGTAGGGCCTGTCCGTCCGTCAGTTTTGTGCTCATCGAGTGGTTAAAGCCGTGCTCGCGAGCTGCGAGCACTCTTTCTCCCTCGATCTCGTCTCTCTCTCTCTCTCTCTCTCTCTGTCTCTCTTGCTCTCTGCCGAGAAAGTCAAGCACCCGTGTGGTACATCTGGCTGTCTGATCGGTGTTTATTAAAAATCATACGAAATCCAGTGCCTCTCCTCTCCCCCTTCTCTCTCTCTCTCTCTCTCTTGGTGCACCTCTTTCAGGGCCAAGCGAATATCCGACGCCGGCGGAAGTCGAGGATCTGGCAGGGAATTGGGTGGACGTCGAGTGGCGGGTTGCGAACGTTCGAGCGTGGCTGGGTTTCTCTTTCGAACGACGGAGAGCCACGTTTGGAGAAATTGCACGCGCGATGTTTGATCTTGGCGCGACGGATGTCAGGCCTCGAGAGAGAAAGGTTTTTAAACGTTTGATTTCGCCAAAATGGTAAAAAACGTCTGAAGCTTCTTTTAGAAATTTGACAGATTCGTAGCTGTGTATTTTTAGAGATTCGAATCACTCGTTCGATTTTAATCTCTGAAAATTCCATTCCTTCTGACTTACTACGATGAATCACAATTCACAATTGTACAACTGAGAAAATGATCAATCTTATTTTATATGTAACGAAAGATAGAAAGAAAACAATAATTTTACTAAATCCAGGTGTTTGACTTAAATTTGAATCATCGATATTAAAACTGTTACACTGATCGGCTAGATCCTTTCAAGAAACGGAAGAAAGTTGAGGAAATATTGCAACGACTATCTTGTCCTGAAAATGTCCCGAAATCTTTGCTGGATCTTCTCCGAAACTTGAAAATGAAAATTTCGCAATGAGACGTCGAAAGAAAACCTAAATGGCGGACGAGACGTGAAGTCGAAGATCGGGTGAAATTAGCCATCGAAGCTCGCGCGCGCCTCATGACGAGGCAGTCTTCTCTCGCGAAAAGATCTGATAGTTTTGTTCGGCTGAGTGCTCGTCTTATCCCCGAGGACAGGAGGAAGGAGGGATCCCGGGACGGATCTTATTGGACCTCCTTCAAAGAGGCAGCCAGTTGCTCCCTCGAGATGGCACAGAAGGGGGAAAAAGATGGTCGAGTTGAATTAATTCCTCAACTATCGTTCCTCCGGTCCTTCGTTACGCCGGTTACCGACCGGCTTGAAATGTAATCGCTGCTCCTCGCTTCTT